ATGTGGCCCAGGATGGATTTGAATGCGGTCCAACACAAATCCATAAACTTTCTTAAAACATCTCAATGTTTTTGCAATTTCTTTTTTTTCAAGTTCATCAGCTATCGTCAATGTTAGTGTATTTTATACGTGGCCTGAGACAATTCTTCTTCCAATGTGGCCCAGGGAAGCCAAAAGTTTGGACATCCCTGCCACAGATGATAAAGCAGCAAGCATGGCCATGTTCCAGGAAAGCTTTATTTATCAAAAATTGGCAACAGGTTGGATTTGGCCCAAAAATATATGTGTAAATTCTATGTCTGCAAATTCTAATAATGAGATTGTTTTTGGCTTTGCTTCTACTCATGGAGTCGGGTCTTCCTGTCTCTTCATGCGGATGGTAACTGCACTGGACAGTGTGGACGATGCACTGCAGACCCTGGTTTCTGGGACTATCTGCCCCAACTCTAGATGATACTAAGCCACTACGCTTGTTCCTGACTCTAAACAAAACAACTCCTTACATGACTATTGTGACAATAAATAAGTCTGAATAACACTTCCTAATGTTCTGGTCTCTGTAAAAACAGTCATTGGGAGAAACCACATTAAGATGCAGAAATGTAAATCTTTAAAGGCTGGATGCAATGTCTATTAGATTCTGCTTAAGAAAATTTTTTTTTTTTTTTGAGATGGAGTCTTGCTCTGTGGCCCAGGCTGGAGTGCAGTGGTGTGTTCTCAGCTCAATGTAACCTCTGCCTCCTGGGGTCAAGTGATTCTCCTGGCTCAGCCTCCCAAGTAGCTGGGACCACAGGTGTGTGCCACCACTCTTGGCTAATTTTGGTATTTTTAGTAGAGATGGGGTTTCACCATGTTGGCCAGGCTTGTCTTGAACTCCTGACCTTAGGCAATCCGCTTGCCTTGGCCTCCCAAAGTGCTGGGATTACAGGGGTGAGCCACTTTGCCTGGCCAAGAAGCTTTCTTTTATATAATCACACACAGACGGCAAGTATTTGACATGTTCTTGCTACATGTATGGTGTATTTATGATGCTTTTTAATGTATGTGCTGTGTCTGTCTCAATACTACCGCAGAAGTCTTTGTTAATGAAGGATAATTGGTGGAAAAAGGTGACTTAAAATGCATTCTTTCAAGATAGCAAATAAAAGGACAAAATGGTCTCATAAAAGCTCTATCTCAAGGAGATAAATTTAAAATTGTAAAATCAAGTTTCATTTTATGTGGTATTTGAAAAAACTTAGGTTTATTATTGCAGCCAGGAGCTAATTTTCTGGGTGAACACTGAGTCGAACTTGATTGATAACTTGGCTATGAATCTTCTGATAAAACTATATGCTAGCACAATATGATATCCTTCATTTCATGTTTGACTTTACAGTCTTATCATAAAAACGGCAATTTTTAGAAAAATATTTGAGGGTTTCATCAATTTTCCCTAGGCCCCTCTTAACCCTTTGATACACAAACCATTATCTTCTGAAGCACTTATATCATCATCCTGATAAGTATTTTTCCTCTTCATTTAAGTTAACAAGATCCCTACCGTCAAGGGCTTCACATGACATTTGAGAAATTCTCCAAAATCACTTTCATTGACTTAATGAAATCATTTTGCAATCAAATGTGGCTAGACCACCAGGAAGACAACACATCTGTCAAAACTATGTGCAGTACGAGATGTCAAATAGGGAGGATGTTTGAATGGTCAATTCATCAAAAGGGTTTTCATTTTATGACAATTCTGGTTCCATAATAAATCTCCTAACTACAGAGAGTAATAAACATACAACGCCAGAAATTTAAAACTTCAGTCATGCACTACTCACATGGTAAAAGTAGGTACAGGAGCTGTCCTTATCTGTGCCTAAGTAGGGCTGGCAAACAGGAGACATAAACCTATGGGCACCAATACCATGTGCCAGGGGCTGAGAGCAGAGATATGAAGGCAGTTCCTGACCTTGAGGAGCTTAGTCTAATGAAAGGCAGACAGGTAAGGAACAGGTGACAATCCCATGGATGAGTGCAATAAAAGGCTTCAGGATACAAAGGAATACTCCAAAGAGTTTATCTGCTGATTCGTCCAACCAACCAGTATCTGAACACCAGCTCTCGGACAGGCAGCAGGCTGGGCTCTGGGAGTTCGGCAATGAAAAAGACATGTGGTCCCAGCTCTTGAGTTACAGTCTGATGGGAGACTGTCAATGAAGGTGAGTAGACAGGTATCTAAGGACAATTTTTAATGTATGTTCTGAGGAAAATGAGTAAGGGCAGTAATGAAGAACAAAGTTGGGACCCTGCTTATGTGCAGGGGGTTTAGAGAAAACTCTGAGGATGTGACATTTAACCTGAGACCAAAAGACGGGAAAGGAGCCAGCTGGGCTCCAGGGGAGGGAACAGAGTATTTTGGTAAGAAGGAACAGTGTGTCCAGAGGCATGAGGCCAAGGAGTGCTGGAGGCCCTGAAAAGAGAGGAGCCCAGGGGGAGGCCCGAGCAAGTCTCATGGGGCTTGGGAGGTCTCTGTTCAGAGTGTGACTGTTAATGAGAGGTGCAGCGGGAAGTTGCTGGAGGGTATCAAGCAGGGCAAAAACGGGCTGGTTTCTGTTTCCAGAAGATTCCTCTGGTTCCTGCGAGGACATGTCATAGACAAAGGGAAAGCAAGGGACCCATTAAAAGGCTAAAGGAATACTCAGTGAATGGCCAAGGTGGCTGAGAGCAGGGTGCTGGGAATGGAGATGGAGAAGTGAATATATTTGCGAAACATTTAGAGAATGAAGTTGTCAGGATGCCCAGATGGAGCAGGTGTGCAGCGCTGAGGGTGAGGGAGGAACCCAGGATGACCTCCAGATGTGGGTTTGAGCAACACGGGAGTGTGGCGACATGGTCACTCATCTGAGAGCAGGGATGGCAGGAAAGCCTCCTTTAGGTGACGTCAGAAGTAGGTTCTGAAGGCTGAATATAGAGTTTTCCAGACAAAAGGTGGAAGGGCATGAAACTATGGCATGCTGGAGAACTGCACGCAGTCTATACTACAGGACAGGTTGGTGGGAGGAGGTGAAAATAGAGCCTGGCTGTGGATGGCACATTCTGGACTTTCAGTGCATTTCCCAGGATAAAGTGGCAGTCCTTGACCCAGACAGGCTCACAAGACGTGTCTTGTGTGATCCTCCCAGCATTTCTAACAATTTGTGGGTAGCTGTCAGATGTGTGGCTTTCCTTAGCACTGTGCTTTGGCAACCCTGGACATGTGCTCATGCCCAGCAACCACTGGCTGGAGTGAGTGCTCATCAGGTGGTGCTCCTCTCCTGTCTTCTCTATGCAGGGCCTCCTGGTCAGTGTCCCTGGCCTGTGGCCTGGCCCCATGAGCATCTCCTGTGCAGCTCTGGGCTGCGTGATGGTGCATCAGGCAGGCTGGAGGCAGGTTTGCATCTCAGAGCAACTACTCCTGCTGCAGAACCAATTACAAAAGGGAAAGTAAGAGGCAGGAAAACCAGCTAAGTATAAAACTTCACAGACTTCTGTTACCATGCTGGCCGAAAGTGAGAGAGGCAAACACCCTTGTGTTATTCTTCATGTCCCAGAAAAACAGAGACGTTATATATCACTGTGTATACCAGGACAGGCTCTGATTCAAAGCATAATGGAATTTATATTATAGCATGATTCTTTATGATGAGGGCTCTGCTGTATCATCAAACATATGTGAGGGGTAATTGAACCTTGGGATTTAGTGGAGGGTACATATATTACCAGCAGGAAGAGCCACACGGGTTCACGGATAATAGGACAGGTCCCAGGGCTGTGTCTATATATTCAGTAGAACTCTGGTAAGCAACTCACTTCTAAAGGACAGAAGGGGGATGGTTAGCAAAGGTCCAGCTGTCCTAAATGCTCCATTCTAGACGTACAACACGAACAAAGGAGAAGAAATGGGGAGTGGAAGGCGGCAGGCAGAAGTATCTCAGATGAGTAATGGGACACGGGCACAACATCCAGTGTTAAAAACAGAAGAAACCAAACGGAGCAAACTTAAGACATTAAATCTGTAAAAATGCATGGAGTCTATGTCTAGGACAACAGAAATGGCTTGTTTTGTTTTCCTCCATTTGTCTGTGATGATTCTTGTCAGATTTTATACTATACACGGAATCTACGGTGTCTTAGATAAGGCCGTGATGACAGACTATTTTTCCTGATTACTTCTGGTACACTTTTAAGAGCTTAAGATAGCACCGTGCATCCATCAGATGTGCTGTTTGGATTGTACTGTTTGAAAACAAAATTAAACGGCAGCTGAATAATGGGGTGGCTGCCAGAGACAGCTTGGCAGGGAAATTGGACTGAGTACCCAGAGGAAAGATGAGGCAGCACGCAAGTGTCTGTCCCCATCCCTGCCTTCCCACCCCTGTCCGATTTGGGTGGGCTTCCCTAGGTCCCATTAGACCCTGTGCTGCTATGGCCAGGCGCCGCTTCCAGTTCAGGCTCCTCCTTAAGTAGATAACCATCGTGGCCAATTTTGTCATCAGGCATTTATTAAGCATCTATTGCAAGGCACTGCGTTAGCTCATCCTTTTCACTTAAATCTCACACTTTATATGCTGTAAAGTTCCCTCTTTAGCTTTTAAAAGGCAGCGATAAATGAGTTGTGCTTAACTCACCCTTTCTACCACTAATTGTTTTATATCTCTTTACTAGAGGAGGGAGCCCTAAATGACACACAGTGCTCTGAGTGGGATTTTGTCAGGCCTGTCGGTCAGCATTTACCTTAAGGCACTAAACGGTATAAAAAGGCCCTCAGTGCCCATTATCACTTTCTCCATCGGTGGACTCTGTGGCTCTAATTGAAAAGGAAAAGGGAAAGGCTGGCCTACGCAAATGGAAAGAAATGTGTCTCCGGTGCACGGAAGAGAAGTGAGTAACGTGAGATGACAGGGATGCTGACAGCTTAGTCAGAGCTTTCATTTGGGCCTCAGAAAAACAGAGTAAATTAAAGAGTGACTTACTCGTTCTTGTCCAGCTGTATCCCAGATTAGGAATTTATGTAGCTCATTTTGGTACTGGACAGTCTTGGTCATAAAAGATGCCCTATAAAGAGAGACCTAAATGATCAGAATACATTACGTAAAGCACGTTTCCAGCCCCAGTTGGAAACATCACTTAGACTCAACCAACGCTCAATTTCCCAGCTCCACACATATCCTAATTGTGTTCCTCTCTGGAGTATTTGTGGGATGCTTAGATGCTGACTGCATATCCTCCGTCAAAACAAAGCATTAGGCATATCTGCCCAACGTGAAGAAGGAAGAGTTCTAAGCTCTGTATCAAAAGAATCAAGAGATAGTTTGGCAATACAGACATTAGCCTCCCTTGTAAAACACAGAACCTGTTACTTAAAAAGATGTTATCATGGGAAAACATTCCCAAAAAACTACGTCCAGGGATGTATACATTAGTTTAAAAAAAAAAAAATAATAGGATCTCGCTTTGTCCCCCGGCAATTCCCAAACCACATGCCCATGTAAATAGGTGAGTGAGAGCTAGTGTTAACATGAGAATTAGTATTAAGATGTCAAACGAGGAGCAGGAAGATGGCTGGAGAAGTAATGGCTGCACAGAGGTGACTGGGTTCATCATCAGTACCCCGATGAACACCTGTGTTTCATCGACAAAATGGCTTTCTAAGCTGAAGTTCAACATCAGACCGTGGAGCCTCATCCAGCCCCGAATGGGAGAAGGAATCATGGTTTGCAGGTCACACCACTCACTTTGAGGGAGCCACTCTGCCCAGGGGACTTTGATGGCAGGGTTCCTATTATTTTGGGTGGTTCACACTTTTTGGAGGATCCTGAGTGAGATCTCAAAGTCTGTGTATGCTCTGAAAGCCATGGTGGCCAAGAGAACATGCCTGGACACTTGGCGGACTCCAGGAGATAGGTTTAGGATTCTTGCCCTGGGATTGGGCCCAGCTCCAATACTACCTTCCAATTCCTCCCTCACCCAAAGGGCAGCCTGCCTCCAGGGAGTCCTTTGTCTCCCAGTCTCCTCACAGCAACCCAGTCTGGCCAGTAGAGCCCAGAGATGAGTGCTTCGTCTTTTCTAATGAATAATAAGCCTTCTGGAACTAAGCACCAAGTTATCCTTTTTTTTCTTTTTTTTTTTTTTCCAAATTGTACTCTTGGTTGTTTTTTGCCAAGTTGTACCCAAATCACTCCAATCAGGACAATGAACTCAATGGCTGGCATTTTCAAATATGCTGAGGCCTTGAAACATTTTTCTTGAGAGTCAAGTAATAGTCTTCAAGAAAAGTACAAGTTGAAATAGGATGACTTTCTGATGAATCATGAGCTTAGATGAGTATCAGAATCTTTAGTTTTAAAACTTCAACTCTGACACAATGAATTCCTGGCAATATTTATATAAATTTATGGGATGGCAAGTAGCCTCCAAAATAGTGACTGTGACTAGGAAGGGAAGATAAATTATTTACTGATAGGACTACTTACTGGATATTTGCTTTCTGAAAATCTACCCCTTGGTATCCTTAGTAAAGTGCTTTGTGCATAGAAGGTACTCGATAAATGGTTATTGTATCAAGAACTTTTGGTGACTCACTATGATTAAATCAGGATATGCAACATGATTTCTCACTTAGGAAAGATCTAAGCATTCAAAAAGCATTGTTTATTGTGAAGATTGAATGAGATGATGTATGTGAAGTGCTCTTTAAATTGTAAAGCACTATATCTATACAAGGTATTATTATTATTATTTAAGGGCAGCTCCAGGAAATGTTTTAGTTTAGACTTTGCAATTAGTCCTAAAAGCTTGCAACTCAACTCTCCATCAATTATGGCTGTGGTGTTACATTTATGAGTGACAACAGGCATCCAACAGGAGCCTACAAGAGAGCCAGCACATCTAACACTTCCATCTGGCTGCTCAAAGGACAAAAGAAGACATTTCAAGTAGACAAAAAGGTGAGAAAGCTATACACAATAATTACTACAGGATCAGAACTCAATGAAGTTTAACCTACCTGCCAAGCATTTCCCTTTAATGAAAACATGACTTATTACTGACTTAATTACTGAGTCAGTTAAAAGACAAAATGGCAGCTATGGTGTAATGAAAGTGCCCTAAAGGATTAAATTTACCTCCCTATCTGACCCCGATCACCCTTCTACCCTCCCTCCTTATCACTTTCACCAGGCCTCCTTCCTGTCTACCCTGAGGTTTTCCTGTGCCCCAAGCTCCTTTCTGGGGTCTGAATCCCTGTCTGTTGGCTTTCTGTCCTTTGATCACCAGCATCACTTGCCCACACCACCAGTTCTTCAGCTTCCTTGCCCGTCTTGTCTCAACTACCCAGAAAAGCCCAACAGCCTCTCCACCTGCTTCCTCTACCCAATGGCTGGGTGGCGGTCTCGCCAGAGGAAAAATGACAATGTGGATGGCATGAAGATTCTACGCTTTGTCTGCTGGGCATGCCTCTTAGGCCTTCTCCCATTCGACACAGCAATTATCCCACATTCTCTCTCCTCCTTTCCAGTTCTCTGCCACTTCCAGCTACCTGCCTCTTGTTTCAGCCTTCTCAGAGAAAACAGGTTATAAGACCCAAGACTCTCAACAAGCTCCCCAGTCAACACTTCCAACTGAGAACAGATGAATTTCCACTCATACTTGCAGTGAGTTCCATTTTTCTGACTTTTCGCTGAGTCCGAGATGTCTTTTCTTTGGCTCATGTGTCAGTGTTGCCCTGGTTCATGACCCCAGCACATTCTGCCTGGGCCACTGCAGTCATCAAACTGGTCTCTGTAAGTCTCAAATCTCTTCAATTGTCCCTGTGTTCACCTTCCCACTGACCACTGACTGCTCCTCTTCTTTGGATGCTTTCCCATTGGCTCTCTCCTGGCCAGATGCCCCCAACCCCTTGGGTCTCAGCTCAAATGTTAAAGATCATAGACCCCTGTGCTATCTACCCAACTAGGCAGCCTCCCACCAACTCATCACTGCACTTTGTCTTCAGGGCACCTTTCACAACATCTGATTAGTTCATTTATGTTTTTTTCTTTTTAAAATTTGCCTGCTCAATGTCTGACTCACCCATGAGAATTTTAAGTTCTTTGTGTAGGGACCTCGCTGTAACTCTGCAATAGGGGGATCCTCCTCACCTCCCCATTTCCTTGCCATCCTAGAACTCCAATAAAACATTTATCATGTAGCCTACAAGCTATTTGGCTGTCTATTATGCCAACAGATCTAGGGTGTCTTGGCCCAGCACTTCCTGAAGGATGAAGTGAGAAGTACTACTGAAATGCAGGTAAAAAGTTGAGATTACGCAGACTTGGGCTCTGTAACCATAGCAAGGTGTGTGGCCTTTAGGGTATGTGGGAAGTAGTTCAACTAGTACAGGGCTGAGTATGCCCAAGCAATGTCCTTCCTGCCTTCTCCTTCCAAGCCACCAGCTCCAACTCCTACTAGCCCACAGGTGATCAGCAAATCCAGGAGTTACAGCAAAGAGTCACTGTGTCCCTCTATCACTCAGAGCTCTGGAATTCTACTAAGAAAGGAGTCATGGCACTTTTCAGAGGGAGAGTGGGTGTCTGTTTCCTGCTCACTCACGTCTGAATCAGGAGCTCTTCCCTACCTCCAGGTCACAGCTCAGGTGGCGACTTTTCTCCCCTTGACACCACAATGCATCTCTGTTGATTTTCTGAGAGGCTGAAATCTTGGCTTATCACATATGTAAGAACCACTTTCTGCTCAACATTTGGATTGGATTCTTTTCCTTAGTGGTAACTTTTGGATTCAGGGTGAGACACAGGAGGGGGTGGTTGCCTGTTGCTCCTCCCGAGCTCTGGGCCAGCCCCAGGCAAAAGGCCTCCTGCAGGACCCAACAATGGATTCCTTCCTATGGTCAGGTCTTTATCTGTTGAGGGCAGCATTTTTCCAAATCAACTTGATTTTAGTTTAACTACACGATCTAGATACTTCATCACCCTTCCCGGCTAACATGGTGAAAATAGGGCTTTCTTTACACTCTACCCCCACAAATCACCCCAGATTTCAAGATCCAAATCACAGAATGTTATGTCTGTCTTCCACAGAACAGAAATGTCTGCAACTATTCTTCATCCTTGTTCCTTGCAACCAATTTTGAAGTAGAGCTGTCTGGTTCTTCATTTTATATTTAATCTTCACTTGAACCTCAGCCCCTGAAATAAATTCATAAATTGGACCCTAATTTTTGAGTGGACTACTACAGTTTTCCCTCCCATTGTCACTAGAACTCTAGGATCACTTCTTTAGTGTTCAAGTTAAATGACACAGAGGGTATAATAACTTCAATATCTTGCTTTTTGAAAAACAGGCAATGGCTCCCTGCCATTGAAATGATACATTTTTATTTTCCAGCCTGCCATTTACTTGTCTGATAACCTTATTTTTCACTACTAAACTGTCTCTCTTCACTCTGCCTAGGCAGATCTTATTACCTCTTTAATCTAAAATCCCTACTAGCATTATTTCCTAAAGCTAGAATGCCTTTCATATACTTCTCCATTTTTCATGACATTCTAAAAATATGACTTTCACACACACCAAGTAGTCACGATCTTTGGTCAGAGTACGTGCTCTCAATGAAAATACTTGCTGCAAGGTATTTGAAACATTTCTTTTCTTTAACTGCAGTAGACTTATTTAGCTCTCCTGGAACACAGGTGTGCTCTGACATCACATTCCAGCACCTCTCTTTACTGCACCCTTTTCTTTGGGATGTTGTCATCCCCATAATGGCATATATTGCCTCTTGAGGATGAACAATCCAGCACATTTTACAATTAACAAAAGAATCTCACTTCTCAACATGAGAAATCTCATGCAAACAACCATTGGATCTCTGTATACTGATGGAAACACCACTGAATACCAAGACTGAGACATAAAAAGACCAAAGGCACGTGACATCTAGAAGTTCCTCTAACAGAGGTATCAAGGGACCTTCACAAAGTTATCTGTTAGAATGGTGCAAAGAACTTGTGGGGTCTGGCTAGGCATGGTGGCTCATGCCTGTAATTCCAGCACTTTGG